CTCGCAAAAGAAGCAAACAGGCGCTCAGTGGGAGAGGGGTGCAACAGGAGCCGGAACAGCTCATTTCCCTCCGCCTCCTCCTCCTCCTCCTCCTCTTCCCCCTCCTCCTCCTCCTCCTCCTCCTCTCGTTCTTCTTTTTTTGTGGAATTATTCGAATTATCCTGTGTATTGCTATTACTGTATGATTCGTACTATCACTCACCATCATATTCTTATTATTCTTATTAGACATATTATTCCTAGTATTAGCAGCATTACTATCCGTAGTATGAGTAGTTTCATTATTATGATTAGCCATACTATTGTGATGAATTGTCCGCTTATAATTATTAGTGTTATGTTTGGTACTATTCATACAAATGCGTTTCCTATTATTGTTCGCCTTAATAACATTGTAATCATTATTATTATGGTGTTGCTGCTTCATACTCTTATTCGTATGATTAGTCATACTATTATTCTGACTCGTAATAATAATCGTATTCATCTTAGTATGATTTACATCCTTCTTCTTGCAAGTATTAGGCATCGTATCAATAGTCGCATGTTTCTTACGATTATGCTTCGGAATAGTATATTTCTTATTATTAGTCTGCTTATTACTAGTACTCTGATGATTCGTACTATTGTGAGTATGCTTATTCTCTTTAGATATGAGAGCTAGCATTACTCTCATCATTGGCATGTTTTATTATGTTCGTATTCGTATCGTTCTTAGTCGTCGTAATTTTACTATTAATATTACTCGTCTTTTCTGAGTATTCTTATTAGCATTAGCCTTCGCATTATTACTCCGACTTTCTTATTCCTCCTATTCTCCTTATGTTCAATAGGATTGCTCCTCTTACTGTTCTTATTATTAGCCCAAGTAGTATCATTATTATATTGCTTAGTACTATTATGAGTATCCTGATTTGGCTTGTTATTCTTACTACTAGTAGCATGTGTATTATTATTAGTCTGGTTATTTATCGTCTTCGTATTCTTCTTAGTATGATTATTCGTCTTACTATTTTCATTGTGCTCTTCTCCGTAGTAGTAGTATTGGTCTTATAATTACTCTTAGTATTATTGGGAATATTCTTGTTAGCATTGCTATTTGTTATTATTATCCGTTTTCGCATTACCCTGATTATTTGAAATGATACGATGCTTATTATTTCTCCCATTATGAGTAGTATTATTCCTCCTTCTCCTCCTCCTCCCCCTCCCCCTCCTCCTCCTCTTCCCCTTGCGTCTCCCCCCTGTTTCCTGTACATCCCCATCAGCATCAGCATCATCATCACCATAATCATCATCACCATCATGATCACCATAATCAGCATCAGCATCATCATCAGCATCATCATCATCACCATCATCATCATCATCATCATCATCATCATCATCATCAGCAGCAGCATCATTATCCGCATCATCATCATTATCAGCATCATCATCGTCATCATCGTCTTCATCATCACCATCATCATCACCATCACCATCACCAGCCCCATCACCATCATCAGCATCATCATCAGTATCAGACCATCATCATCAGCATCACCATCGGCATCCACATCATCATCATCATCATCATCATCATCATCAGCATCGTCATCATCATCATCATCATCATCACAGTCAGCATCATCATATCCATCATCACCATCATCAACAGCACCATCATCAACAGCATCACCATCATCATGATCATCGTCATCATCATCATCATCATCATCATCAGCATCATCATCATCATCATTAGCATCACCATCTTCAGCCGCATCATCATTATCAGCATCATCAGCAACATCTTCATCATCATCGAAGCTACAGCACAATTATTGATATTCGCAACAAGCGTGGCGGATCGGACTTTTCTAGGGCACAGACCTGGGCGCTCAAGCAGGGGGGGGCATTGCGCACACGCGTGGTTCCTGGATGTCGGTCTGGATGTGAATCGGTGGTTAGGGAAATCTCCTTAAACATAAAGACTACACTTCTGTACCCAAGCCGGGCAAGGTCACCGTCGCGGGGTGCAGGTTCGGTCGAGGATGATTATTCCACTTGAGTTCGTTACATCGTCTGCTCCCTCATTGCATACCCCCTCATCTACTACCTCCGCAGCCACATATTCGTTTACCTCCTCAATACCATCTTCTATTTCTCAACCATCCTGTGGCGTTGGGCCCCCATTTTGAAGAGACGGTCCCCGCGTTCCTCCTTCCTCCTCCCCCCCTCCCCTTCCTTCCGTCACCCCCTCGCTGTGGCACACCCCTCAAACGTTTCGTGGCCCCATAGGGAGTTCCACCGAAGGCCCCAGTGGCACCGCCCGCATGCGTCACCCCCACCCAGTACAGCGCTTTGTGGCCCCATAAAACAAGCTCCACGGAAAGCCCCAGTGGCACCGCCCGCATTCGTCACCCACCACCCCATACAACGCTTCGTGGCCCCATAGGTACGAAGCCCCACCGAAGGCCTCACTGGCACCGCCCGCATGCGTCACACCCACCCAATACAGCGCTTCGTGACCTCATAGGAAGTTCCTCCGAAGGCCGCACTGGCACCGCCAGCATGCGCCACCCCCCCCCCACACTACAGCGCTTCGTGGCCCCATAGGGAGCTCCACGCCCCCGTGGCACCGCCCGCAGCGCCACGTGGCCCCTTAGGGGGCTCCAGGTCCCACTGGCACCGCCCGCATGCGTCACCCACACCCAACACAGCGCGCCGTGGCCCCATGGGGAGCTCCACAGACAGCCCCAGTGGCACCGCCCGCTGCGTCACCCCCCTGGCCAGTACAACGTTTCGCGGCCCAGTAGGAAACCCCACCGAACGCCCCAGCGGCACCGCTCGCATGCGCCACCCCCACCCAATACAGCGCTTCGTGGCCCCATACGGAGCTCCACCGAAGGCCCCAATCGCACTGCCAGCATGCGTCACACCCACCCCGTACAGCGCTTCGTGGCCCCATAGGGAACACCACCGAAGGCCCCAGCGGTACCGCCCGCATGCGCCACCCCCACCCAGTACAGCGCTTCGTGGCCCTATAGGGAGCTAAAGGCCACCGTGGCACCGCCCGCATGCGTCACCCCCACCCAGTATACCGCCTCGCGGCCTCATAGGGAGCTCCACCGAAAGCCCCAGCGGCACCGCCCGCATGCACCACCACCACCCACCCAGCATGGCGCTTCGTGGCCCCATGAGGAGCCCCAGCGAAGGCCCCAGCGGCACCGCCGCATGCGTCACCCACACCCAGCAGAGAGTTTCGTGGCCCCACAGGGAGCCCCACCGAAGCCCCAGCGGCACTGCCAGCGCGCGCCACCCCCACACAGCACAACGCTTCGCGGCCCCATAAAGAGCTCCACCGAAGGCCCCAGCGAAAGCACTCGCATGCGTTCCCCCCACCCAGCACAGCGCTTCGCGGCCTCATGGGGAGCTGCACCGAAGGCCCCGGCGGCTGCACTCGCACGCGGTCTTCATACCCATCACATTGTTTCGTTGCCCCATAAGGAACTCCACCGAAGGCCCCAGTGGCGGCCCCGCCCAACTGCGGCGCACCCCTCCCACTTGTCGCGGCCCCGCAATGCGTTCCGCCTCAAGCACTAGTGGCAGGGCCCACATGGCGGCCCCACCCCACATCGACACACCCTTCGCACGCCCCATGGCCCCACGAGGATATCCCGCGAAGGCGACGCCCGCAACGACGGCACCAGCGACTGCACGGGGCCGGGCCCTTCACTGGGAGAAGCGTTCGCGGTAAACAACATGCAACATGGCTGGCACTGGACGCGCCCCCGCTCAAAGTTCCAATCCAATTACACACTCCCGTTGGCCGCGACCAACTTCCAAATAGCGCGGGGCGGAACTTCAGCGGAATGCGAAGTTGCACACGTAGAGCATTTCGGGCCCAGATACAGACGAGGTTACCAATGGGCGCGGCGCACTGCACTTTCACGGACTCCAGGCGCCATTGAAAACACATGGCTGCTATACCGCATGGCTAACACCGTGTTTCCTGCTCTGGGGCCATGCCACCGGCAGGAGACTAGCGTCGCCCTGCCGACCCATCTCTCGGCAGCGCGCGGCGCGGCCAGGCCCCGAGCGGCTGCTGCCCGCAAGGGGGCCCCCAGGCGGGCTGCACGGACAACCCGGATCACGCCGCCGACGCGGCTCGCCCAGCTCGCCACGCGGAACCCGCCGGCGCAGGGTCTGCAGGTCACCCGCGACAACCAGATTCCTGCCGTCACATCGTGCGGCAGGAGCCTAACGCCGCGGCCACGTCGCATGCGCTGAGCAATCATAGCGGCTTGCACATTGGAGAAGCCAATCTGCAACGGAGCGACCGCGGCGGCAGTGGAGCACGGGCGGGCAAGCTCCAGCGTTCACTGGGCAGCGCCACGGCAACTCCGATCACGACTGCCCTAACTGAGGCCCAAGCGTTTGCGATCGAACGCCCCATGTGCAAACATTGGGATATCGTTTCAGCCCCCCGGCGTCATGGCCGAACTTGTTCACCTGTCGGGTTCCAAGGTGGCCGTCGATCACGGCCGAGTCCCCTGGCGACGGGGCAGACGAGACCCCCTCGCCAGCTCGCGGAGCACTGAGCCGTCGACCAAAGGACCCGATGCTCGTCAACGGCGGGGGCCCCCGAAATTACGCGGCGCCAACCAGGGCGACCTCCCTTCCGAGGCGCAGCCCCATCTTCATCCAACCCATCGGCACGCCACCACAAGAATTACGGGACCACGCTGGCCTCTCCGCCTACAACACATCGTGGTTGTTGCAGCGTTCACGGCCACAAAATGCCCCCAGCTCGAGATGCCCAAATGGCGGCGCGGGGACCGGGCACTCCTCCTGCACCGGGCACCGGACGCGGCGACCCTGGTGCTCAAGATCCCTTCGCGCCGCATTGGAGCTCGTCGCAACGTGAACTCTCGGGCGGATTCTCTACGCGCCCCGATCTCGGGGCCCCGGTGGCCCGGCGCTGGGCAGGGCGCGCAAGCACGCCCATTCAATCA